ATGCAATCAATGTGTGTTTGTTACGTCAACCTTTTGAAATTAATCATGGAATTTGTCTTATATTGAAAAGTCTTTCGTTAATTTGACATATTTATAGAAAAATGATTGAATAGGTAGTAGCTGATATCACAAATAAGTATCATAACGGAGACTATATTCAAATGGTCAAAAACGGTTTAGTGAAAGTGCTTGTACATAGTTTTAAGTGATAGCTGAAAAATATTAATGTCACGTACGACCGTTTCTTTCTATGAGGTCGATTTGTTCTGACGTTTTTGAGTTTGAATTCCTTTATTTGCTTATGTTTGTAAATGTCCACATGGTGTAGTTAGTACGTCAGTGTGTGTATCGTGACACTTTTTACAGAATTCGCTTGACTAACGATGCTTTATGCCAAACTTATTGTAATATCACCCTTACTAAGTTTTACGAGAATTGATTCACATAAAGACTTACCAACCGGCTCATAGGGCTAACATACTTCATTTGTACAACATCGAATAACACAGTCCCTGGCATGTTATTCACGGGTGCATGAATAGTATTTATTATCAAAGATTTCGCCCAAGTATCTCTATTGGTCAACTTTATTTACATAATATGACATCACCTTTCCTCATTGATGATTCATACCCGATTATAGATAAGGCAAACACTTTTATTTGTAACGATTTGTTTTTAAATTGTCTCTTGAACTCTAGTACTAGGTCTAGGTCTAATCTTTCATTAACTCATTTACCCCTGATGACACATCTGAACTTTCCCAATTCAAAGTTTGGAATAGTTCATTAACATTTGAGTGGTGAATTAGTTTATAGAAAAAGCGAATACAGTAGTACATGTGATATTCATATACCACTTCCTGTTCCTGAGGAGCCACGTCGGTCATTTTGAATTAGAATTTAACGCTCCACTTCTGGTAAATTAGCCCCAAATGTTTTGTCAAACTTAGTACACTATCAGTCAAACATCTTAAAAATGACCCCGTGGAAAATGTAGTCTGAGAAAGTTTTAAACGTTGAAACTGAAACTCGGGAGCTCGATAAACGGACTAAAAGGACTTAAGTGATCTTATGTCGTACCTTTTCGTTCAATGTCCAACCAAATAAGGTCAGTGTGACCTACTTTCCACTATTTGATATGTACTATTAGAAGTTATCACAGGGTTCAGAAATAAACACATAATGTTGTTTTTATACAATTAGGTCACTATGACCTACCTTTCAAAATTTGACCAGCAACATTAAAGATTGTCATTGGACTAAGATATAAACAAAGAACTGTGCTTGACTAAATAGTATCTACTTTTGTTGTATTGATATATATGATGAAATATTGGTATCGGGTTCAGAAAGGAACTCAGAACTGTTGTTTTCCTTATCAAAGTCACTGTGACCTACTTTTCAATGTCTGACCTACATTTATTAAAATTGTCATCGGGTGAAGAAATGATAAAACAACAATTTGGTTTAATTTCTGAATTCTGTGAATATTGAAACAAATGAGGTAAACTATTAAAAAGTAGATATCAGTGACCAAATATAGACAAAACAAAAAATGATGTGAACGTTTAATAAGGTTAAAAAAATGTAAAATTGAGTTTTTTTTTTTTTTCACGGCTTCCAGGTTCCGATAACTGACCCGGTGTCATTTTTCACATGGGTACATTGTCAACGCCGGGTCTACAGTGAAAGGCCTAAGCTTCCGATTTAGACCCAACACTCCAATTATGTTCATGGATTGAATTTTGTGTGTAAAATAAATAGTATAAAAAAATAACATACAGTTTAATAAGCGAAAAGTAATAATGCAATACCAAAATTAGATGAATTAACTCCTTTTATATATATTAAGTATGAATAATACATAAGGGGAGCGATTCAATATTGACCAAACTAGATACCAGTCGTCCCACAGCTGAGTCTGTTAAAACACTGGATGATCGCATATACTCTTTTAAGATGTTAAGACTTTCGAATATCTAATATAGAGATATGTATCGTTCGATGGTCTGCCGAATCTGAGTCAATGATTTCTAGCTATATATATATAGCTGCTACATGTATATTCAGTCTATGGAAAAACTTGTTATTGTAATTGTAAATTTCCAGCTCTGAGTTCGGAAGCCTGTATTATATATAATACAATATAACCCATTTAATAGGATTGTATAGACACATGCAAATTAATTGTGAGAGTAGTAAAATATAAACAGGAAATAAATATAACGTTAGCCACCAAATACATAGTACTAGCGGGCCTTCAGTATGAGCTAGGAAGTATATATAGGTCATGACTCATCTTGTCGCGGCGAGAATATGCTGATAAACACGTTTACAAACCCTACCGGAAACAATTTAATACATTTTGGCATTAGCTTGGTGGCACGGGTATTAATTAGTACAGTTTTGTATGTCAAAATATATCGTAACAAAATCCTTGTTGTTCTCGATTTCCCTTTCATTTGAGATAGAACCTCAAGTGTAACATTTCTTTTAAATGAATCACCAAAACTCTAATTCAATTAATTTGCATTAATCAAAACTTAAAATTAGAGTATGAAACACGGCCCAAATATCAGTTTTAGAAAGTAGAAAATTTAGCATACCTTTAAATGATTTCTTCACAGCTTTCTTTATTGTTTTCCAAGTAAATGTATGAACACGATTTTTCGCCAATGCTGGTCATCGGCGCATCAAGAACAGTAAATAATAAACTATTAGCTGCTGTTTTCCCTTCAAACCAAAAACCCGTTCAGCTTGATTACGATAAATGTGCAAAAAGTGTTGGAAAAAACATTACAGGGATCTATATTTAGATTGCTTTTTTAGGCCTGGCGTCATTATTTCTTTGGGTTATTTAAAGCCCATGGATCTAAAGTTTTGTCGCAGTTTAGGGTGTAATCGTATCTGTGGTCTAACAATGTATTTGTGATATATGATTGTAGGTTTGATACAATTGTTGTTTAATTTTCTTAAAAAGTTCCTCTGTGTTTATTGGTACTCTAGTAATTAACTAAAATGTGGGGTGAGAGCCAGTGGGTTATCAGCATCATCAGCTTACATGTAACATATATAGTTACTGTTTTGATAATGACACCAGGTATTTTCACAATTATGTCCTTTCGTTCAGTGGGACCAGGTCTGCGAGCTAGCACACCGTTACGGTAGACTAGAAGAACTTAATGATATCAATGACTTTTTTTAGGGCAAGTTTGCCGTGAATGCTCATGTATGAACAGTCGGATCTGTACCACGAGATGGGGTCACTATGAAAGCAGTTTCTGTCTGTAACTAGTTATAAAGTTATACGTTGCTGATAAAGGGCGTTGATTGTTGATTTCGACATAAATGAATTATCCATTGTTTCTTTTATGACTGGTGATGCATACATAAATTATGTAAAGACTATAACCGGACTTTCAAAAATGTTAATTATTCCGTTCATATCCTCAATAAATGAAAATCAAAAGCTGATGAAATTTTAGACGATGAAAAATAAATGTACACGTTTACCTATTGGTTTAATGCGGCTCTTTTTGAAAATAACTCCCGGTAGAAATATTAACAAAACCTGGTTGATAACAAAAAGGATCTTCAGAAAACATCCGCGTTTTTACTTTTTGTGCCTGTGTCAAAAACTGAAATTAAAAAGTCTTGAAGCAACGACAAAGAGATAAATGCAACGGCCATCAGTTCCAATGTTTACCGGTTATTTTTCATCCCTCCGGAAATAACCGATGAAGGCCAATGGTGTGTGGCGTGATTGTGACGTCATCTTATGATTCTCTCTGAACGACGTTTCATGCCAGTATCAAAATTTATGTGATAATTTTTTTTCAACACAGAATGTATATTAGTTTTTATCTAAATAAACAAGTAATAAAAATGGGCATTGTTTTCACTATATGAAGATGTTCATGTATGGGGTGAAACTCAATATTGTCTTTGCTTCAAGGATACATATCCGGTTTCCCCACTGGAGGGCTACTTCCGGACGAAAAAAATCCAGGGCAAGGTGTGAATGTGGCACATGGCACCTCTGTAATTTTAATTCAGCTTTTTTTAGCACAATTTATGCAGTTTCGTATTTTTCACACCTTTAAGTGCGCATGTCACACTTCATATCGGAAGCAGCTTGTTAAAACCGCGCCAATATTTTAAACTTTTACTTTCGAAATTCAGTGATGAAGATGATCCGATTGATGACAGCGATAACGTGTTTTATCTGATCCTTTTGAATTTTGTTTGTGAAATTTTATGAATAAGAATTAAAAATAGCGATATGCAACTGCTTATGACTTTGCTGTTGCGATGCCGCAAGATTCTAGACATTATATATTCTGAACTTAAATGCAGTATTCATAAAATTCACTATACCATTCCAACTACTTGTCTGATCAGAACGTTTGTCTACCTTATATCAGGGTTTATCTATTGATTAAGAAGTTCAAATAACTTCAGAGAGCTGAGCAATCTCAATATGCCATCAGCAAATAATATATCCAAATCTGTAGAAGGCAGAAACTGAATCATCTGACAGAACAAGATCGCTGCTTTATAACATCCTTATTGTGTTGTACCCACTTACTACACTTGTTTATTTCAGTTGCTCATCTTCCTTTGAGGAGTACCTGTACAAGTTAGGTCGATGATTAATGATTATGTTTATGCTACTGTAACTACAAAACTTTAATTTTAATTATGCAAAACAGTGGGCAATTGTGATGTCAAAATGAAGATAATATTACATTATGATTCTTCAATTCCACATCCCACTATAACCTGTCTACATTTCAAAATCATCCTATCCCAACAGCATATACCACTTCCCCTACATCAGCCCTTCAATACCCTTGCATATTGAATGACTGTTGACAGATTTTTCAATTCTCTATTGCAATAAATCACAAAAAAACTAGGATGACTTAAATGTTATTTATTGACAAAATACATATAGATATAATCTTAGCAAAAATAATTCTGCAGAGGACAGATGGATGCCACATCATCACAAGTTTATAAACACATACTGCCTGTCCAAACCTCATAACCGTTTTTGGAGTATTAAAGTTAAAAATAACTTTTGTCTGATATAGGGTATTTAACTGCAGTTGCTTCAACATCAAAGTTGTGGAACTGAGGAGTTACAGACACAACTGAGTATGTTATGCAGGGTAATTATCTGCAGACACAACTAAATTTGGTAAAATTTATCTTGATTTTGTCTTAAAATTGTTAAAACTATCATGTTTTTGGTTGTAATAAAACCAAACTGCTTGTTAAATATCAATTTTTCTACCCCAAGTGCAAAAGCAAATCTGAGTTAAATCACTATTTCTTGAATGTGGTGAAAGGAGAAACCATTCTGTACTTGACCCATTTAAGATGGAGGAATGAATAAAATAGAATTGACAGATTTTGCTATAAATATTGACAAATATTGACAAAGTCTCATCAGAATTTAGTCATATTTGACACTTAAAGTTGTGCAGAAACTGTAAATTTCATTTCATCAAATTTTATTGACAAGATGTCGTAATCAATTGGATTGAATAACAGGCAAAGCCTATATAAATACAGAAATTGTAAATCAATCAGAGCAAGCTATGAATAGTGATCATTAATTATGCCCAGACTTTGCTCAGTTGTATAAGTACATAGGTCAATCAGTAGAGAGGGTGAATGTAAATTGAGTAATCGTCTGGCTTTTATTCCTCATCTTATAGTTCACTTTTCTTTTTATATAGAATATTATAACAAATTTGTTTCTTATAAATATAAAGCTATAACCAACACTCGTCTGTATCCTTTAAGTAATCAAATCAATGTTACACCGTATTGATATATGTTCCTTACAAGATTCCTCTTGTTTCTTCAATAATATGTACTGCATCTGTAAAAGTTTATGATTACTCATCAAAGTAAAGCTGATCTTGACTTTATCCATTGTTAGTATCCTCATGCATACTTCAGATGGTCACAGCTGTCAATTTAGTCCACTCCATTTTTCAATTCCTGTTGCACAAGAAGAATTTGAGGTTAGCTGCATTTTTAAAAATGATGTTCGCACTGACATCTGATTGGATTTGCAGACCATTCATTCAACAATATCAATACATATGTTTTATTTTTAACTGGAATGCTCCAAGCTTTTTTGGACAACATAAATATGCCTATTATAGGAGAAACATGAAAACCAAAAAAATGTCAATAAAATATGATTTCAATAAGTTCATGAAAGTCAGATGTCATTAAACTTATTTTTATATTCCCCCATTTGTGAAACTACACACTTTTTAATTAAAACACCAGCAGTTTTGAACTTGCCTTGAAAATGTGAAGCCAGAAAAGATGATTTTACATATGATAAATATCCATTGTTGAAATTTTATGTGATGATGTTATGAACAGCCTGTATGTAATAAATCTAAAAATATTGACATTTTTTGGAAACCAATGCACAATATATTTAAGTGCATTGAAAAGCCAGAAGCAGCGTTTGTATTTTTATACAGATTTAGTTAATATTCAAAATATTAATAGTCTCTATTTAAGTGTGAATACTGCTTAAGATCAGCTAGGAAAGTATTAACATTTGTTGACAGGAAATGTATTTATATACCTTTTTCACTGCTTGAAATTCAACATAAAGTGAGCAGGAATAAAACTCACGAAAGATGAAACAGAACGTTCATGGCTGACTGCTAGGGGGCATTCTCATTGAATGTATTTAGTTCATTTGAGAATGAATGCTTCAAAAAAACCGAAGCAGACACTTCTAATAATGATTTATTGGCCTCTTACTGTAATTGTAGTTAATCAGACTTTAAATCACACTCGCAAAAAAGTAACAAGTGAACGAAACAGTCACCCGAGTAATAACTGCAGTAATACAATAGTGATTTGTTGTTGTGATATCTTATATTCTAATCTACATGAGATGTAACAAGGCATTTGATTGGTCATTTTTTTTAAATTTAAAGTCATGATTTACCGTCGCAAATTTCACATTTTCATATGAAGCATGGATTGCGATTGTTAATGACTTTGATTACCCCACTGACCCTAACACATCATGAAATTGATTATTCATGACGTCAAGAACAACAGCGTGATACCGAAAGGTCTATAACTTCAGTGTCTTGATTTCATCATTGAAAAGTAATTGATTACAGCATTTCTAGGTCTGAATTAGTAGAATGCTGATATTTTAGCCAATTTGACCCCTTCTGGCCCTGCCCCTCAGGCAATTGGACATTAAATTCATATATTTACATCTCCACTGCAAGAACCTCTGTAAGCATTAGCATCAGGAAATATGTAAATATATGTATTTAACAGCATTTTTAAATGAAAAAAAACCCTGGAATTCAGTTGAGAATCGTGCACACCTATGGATTATTTGGTCACCTGTCATCTTGCACTTGTGTAGCATGTTTCAGAATATAGTATGTCATGCATGTGGACTTTGAACAAGACCATATTCCTTATGACCCTGCTGACTGTGGTTTAGGGTAGTTCAACTTTTCTGTGTTGCCGTGTCTTTCTGAATAAATTGAAAGAAATGTTATCACACCTCACCCACATAAACTATACACTACAGGTTGTCTCTCTTAGAATCAAGACCCTCTTCCTTATGAAGAGGTAGGTCATACTTTGTGATTCTTTTTATTTTATATTTTTAAATGATGTAATTCAAGTGTAATTGTAATCTTCATAGATCGTTGGTGACTCATTGATACAGCTGTTGTATTTACAGATGTAGGTTTTGTATAGCTTCATATTGCTAGTGTTATGCACATGTATGTATATTTTATCCAAGATGGATGTGACTTTGTTGTTCAGTATTTTTACTTAATAGTATTGGTATAGCAAAGCCTAAAATATGTTACATTAGCTTAAGTTAGCCTGTTCTATATCTAATTCACAATTTTCAACTTTAATAATGAACCTCCCTTGTAATGAAATCAAAGTGCACTTACTTAAACCATTTTTTTTAATTTATTTTTTTAACAAAGTTGTAAACTGTATCCACCTTCATGCCAAAAAGTCCAGCTATCTGAAAATTTAAATACAAAAAAGACATTTTAACTCCATCAATATTACATTTTGTAGGTAAAATTTAAATTTATTCATAGAAAATTGGAAACATTACTAAAATGTCAACTGAAAGTAGTTCATGCAAGGAAATTTTGATGAAATTTGACCTGATGACATCGCTCACCTGGACTGTTACATTATCGTTGAATTGTAATTCTCTACATCAATATTGTTTTGCAACATTTGAGATAAGAATCATATCATTATGTGAAGCTTATATTAAGGTACCTTAAAGCTTTTATAGACGAACATACAAATTTAAACTTCTTTAAATAGTAAGTCATCACTTAAACTATACCTAAACATGTTGAAAACCAACACAATATCTACATGTTTTGATGTTCAAACATAATTCTACAAAACTGTCAGTTTACTGATGATACTTATTTCATGTCCCGAGTTGTGTCTGTAACTCCTCAGTTCCACAACTTTGGTGTTATTACAGTTAAAAAACCCTATAACAAACTCCTCAGTTTAAGTTCATATAATTAATTTTGCTAAGTACTAGTCCAATTGGAATAGTCAGGTGATTTCAAAATGAGCAGTACATTAATATTTATATATTCAACATTAATCTATAATTATTACTAACAAGACACAAATATCTAGATCTACATAAAATGAGAAGTCTGCCACCCAAAATCTGATCACATCGTCATTGAAATTTGTACGACTCAATGACAAGTTCTATGATTCAAACCATGCGTGATAAAACCTTTCAATGCTCCCCTGATAGACAAGTACAGTTGTTTCTTTCCCCGGGCATTGAGATGTACCTGATCGTCATCTAGACATGCAGGTACGATCCTCTTATGTCGCCAGTAAACAATACGACTGCATGATTGTCTTCCTAGACATTTATTCACGCGCTGCCTAAGATGATCATACTGACCAAATGAAACAACACGTGTACGAAATCTAAGAAACAGAGATCCCACATACACACGTTGCAACCCGTCAATTCCACAGTGGAGGTTCTGACACAGACGGTATATAGCATGTGCCAGGCGTTCTGGACACGTATGTCATTTCCACTTCTGTAGGAATATCAAGCTTGGTTTAAGTTCTTGCAAGTCCGTCATGAACTGATAAGTATGCTCAACCTTAGCTCCATTTTTCCAGAAATATCTCGTAACAGTTGTGCCAGGAATGAATTCATTTACATGATCCATGCGCCTTACATGCGATGACCCAACCACTGCTATCCTAAACATTATTTGTTATGTTATGGCAGACTCTAAACAGAAATAAAATGGAACGAATAGTTTTTTCCTTACCACGTGGTTCAAGACTTCAGCGGGAGAGGAAGTTAAACTTTCGGAACTCTAAATTATTTCAATTCGGATACCTCCTCAGACATGCGCAGAAAAAAATACGAAACTAAAAAAAGCTGAATTAACATTACAGAGATGCAATGTGCCACATTCGCAAGGTGTAGAAAGGGGAAGCAACTCTGTTTACGCACCCATGTGTTACCATTAAAGAGCTTCGCTCGGGCGCCTTCGGCGCCCGAGAGCTACGCTCTTATACGTTTGCATCAATGACGTCATTTTCTTCAAGTCAAAGCTAAAAGTAGAGTGTGGTTCTTGTGCGTAACTTATATTTATATGGTGGGTCGGGTGGCGCAATTGATAGCGCGCTCATCTTCATCAAGATGGTCAGATTCGATCCCGGTCATCTGCCTGACAACGCGGGGTTTCGCCGGATACTCCGGTTTTTCTCCCACATTAAGAATTAAATCGTCTGCGTGCTTCCGTCAGGGCACAACAAGTTTTATTGTGATACGATGGGAAAAACCTGTTTGGTAATTGCTATAGAAAAAAGTTCATGGTACATATTTGACGATAAATCTAAATAAATGTATAAAGATATTAGTGAAAAAATATAAATAAAAAGATAACATTGTAATACTTTGATGAAACTGAGATTGTCGTTATATCGATATGTACTCTCAATATTCCTGTTCTATCCTGAAACACCGAGTGTAATTTCAAATTTTGTTACAGTCATCGAGGTTTGACAGGTAAGAATGCAAAATAAAATTGAACGATTCCTGTCTGTTACTAGACACGCCTTGTGAAAAAGTAATACGTTGCTGAAAAAGGGCGTTGAACTCTGGTTGGTGGTCTGGAAAATCATTGTTGATTTCGACATAAATGCATTATCATTTGAATAAATTATGTAAATACTATAACAAGACTGTAAAAAATGTTAATTATTTCGTTCATATTTTCGACAAACGGAAAAAAAAGTAAATACTTTTTTAGACGATCAAAAAATAAATGTACACGTACAGTACACCTATTGGTTTGATGCCGATCTTTTGAAGAAATCTCCGGGTAGAAATATTAACAGAATCTGGTTGATGACAAAAAGGATCTTCAGAAAATATCCGAATTTTTCCTTTTGTGCCTGCGGCAAAAACAGATATAAAAAAAGTCCTGAAGCTCCGGCAAAGATATTAATGTAACGGACATCAGTTCCAAGATTATCCGGTTATTTTTCATCCTTCCGGAAATAACCGTTGAAGGCCGATGGAGTATGACGGTTGTGACGTGTAGTATGATAATCTCTGAACGAAGTTTCATGCATGTTAGTATCACGTTTTATGTGATAGATTTTTTTCACTCGATAAATATATTGGTTTTTATCTAAAGAAAATAAGTAAAAAATCATAAAGATTGTTTTCACTATATGTAGATGGTCATGTGTGTGTTGAAACACAATTGTCTTTGCTTTAAGGACACACTTCCTATTTCCCTACTAGACGGCAACTTCATGAGGAAAAAAACTGAGGGCAATGTGTAGAAAAGGAAAGCAACTTTGTTTACGCACGCATGTATTACCATTAAAGAGCTTTATTTGGGCGCCTTTAGAGGGCTACGCTCTTATAACAGAAATGACATGCAGTCTCTTGTTTACGGGACTTGCTAAGACAGAATTGTGACTCGGCAACTGGATTCAGCAGTTCCAAGCACAGGGACCTGAGAATGAGTTTTATTTGAGTCACATGTCACACAACTAAAACGATTAAATTCGTTAACTAACCGTCATACCTCTTTAAAGATTTATAACAACGTGCAAACTATAAAACAATTCAAAATAGAGAATATGACAGGACTCACAATATGTGTTAAGTTATAAGAGTCATGTGCAAGAATATATCGTACATGTTTGTTTTGTGCAAGTCTAGACAACACAAGAACGAACAATATGCATAGCTGCAACACATTGAATGTCTGTGAAAAGGTTAAAGGGAGCGGGAAAACGATGTTCTAAGATTTGATTGTTGTAACAGTAGTATTTAGTGTTTCAGAGAAGACAATGAGCCGTTATATTGGGCCTGTTAAGAACGTTTTAACGTGAATAGTATTTTACCATAGACAAAAGTTTAATGGTTAATTTAGCTTCGAAGATATGTGATATGGGCGGATTGGTCGAGTGGTTAACACTCCGGCCTACCACGCAGGCGGGGGCCGGGGTTCCATCCCCGGAGTCGTCGTTCGCATGGAATATTCAGAGAAAGTATTTTTTCCTGCCTACACGACTCAAACAACCCAGGTGATGTAGTATCTGTGCTGTTGCATTCAAGTGAGGTGCCACTATAAACGATACCGTTGGAAGCACGATCCCACTACAAACAGAACAATACGTCTCCAGCACACACACAGGCATACACATATAGGGAGATATTTGCCAGGTGGCATAGGACTAGTAGTAAGCACCTGATAAGACAGCTCCTGCGAATTACTCAAAAATTGTAATAAATTACATTACTATATAGTAGATTCCTGAAGCTCAACTTATGCTTAAAGAGTGTACCCTTACATGCCTCTACACTGTCTCGTTTTATCGATACCCATTCCTGAAATGGATATAAATAAATGTAACAAAAGTATTATGATCAAGGCTTAACATTTTGTAGTATGAAAGGAGAACATTTCAGAACAACACTTCTATCAGAAATAGATTTGCAAGTTCGAGAGGTTAACAATTTAAACAATCAAAATGTAATGCTTATTGAAAAAAGAGAATCGTTATCATGTTGGAAATGCAAATAAAAGCAAGCAGGATTCATTGTGCAATCATACGAACGTGAATAGGGAAGACAAGTGGGAAACACACCACGGCAAACTCCACATGTGTGCTGGACGTTCAGAGACACAACGTTTAATATAACATCAAACACATTACCTATGCTCATGTAACGTATATCAACTCAGTTCAACCAAACGTTTTGTTAAATTTCAATCGTCATATTCCAGAATGAATTTAAAGACATCAAGAGGGTGCAAAAATCAAAAACAGCATGTTCACGTGACGTAAGCATGTCAATATAGAAATCACATAACAACGTCAAGAAATGCCTACTTCACCTACCTGTGGTTGTATTAAAATGGAACGGATTATATTTTCTTTTACATTATGTTTTAGATCTGCTGTTAAAATATAATCAATAAAACAAATATCTTAATAAAATATCATAGCTCATCCAGTTTAGGATCTGGAGTCAATTTTAAAAGCTCAATGAACAAAATGTTTTTTTCACATGTTAGCATAACATTGTCATGTTGATTTCAATCCGCATCTAAATGATCAGTTTAAACGACTTCCATTTAACGGAATAACTCTACTTCGACGACAGTGCAGGCAATCTAATTGATCAAGGCAAGTGGGTCCTTCGTAAAGATAAAACTTAAACAATTATGTAACGCAATTAGCAAGAGAAAAACAAGCCAAATAATTACAACTGAATGATGGGCTGTTTTTCAAGCATATCATTTGGCAAACTGGTAGTCGATAATTACATATAATGGAAATAAACCGTACCTATATTTATTTGTAAATGAAGCATGACTTTGGTATCCGTGGTCGAAAAGCAAAGAAATATGTGACCAGAAGAGTATCGATGACCAGAAGTACCGATGACCAGAAGTACCTATGACCAGAAGTACCGATGA